TTGCATTCTATTGGCATTGATGGTTTTATTGATATCTTGACCATTCTTCAAAGTGAATTCTTTATTTGTTATTTGTGGTTTTGTGACATGTAGAATGATCCTTCACCAGGTTTTCATTTGCTCATGAGTAAATCCCCATTTATTTGGAGTCTTAGCATATAGTTCTTTGTATCACACAAAGATGATTCGAGTTACACATGATAAGATTACTGAATTACAATTATCTCTCAAATGAAATAACAATTTCTTATCACTCATTAAAGACATTGTATTGTTGAATGTAAGCATGTCATTACAATCACTCCAAATTACCCACATACTTGATTGAATAGAAGCATAAATTATGCTAAGTTGGAATAACATGGATCCCTTATTTATCCATTTGGTATTCATTTGAGTACATGTCATAGGATGACTTAGACTTTACTTACTAGTTCCTTGTGATCCTTTGAGTTCAAACCATATTCAAAATCAAAGTCCAAATATAATTTGTTATGCCATATATTCAAGTCTAAGTCAATTTCAAGTTCATTTATTTTCAATGCCAAGTTCTCTTGAGTTCAAGCTGAGCTCAATGTCATTATAGCTCAAATCACATTCGAGTCCAAATTTTTAATGTTCCAAATTAAGCTTTTATTATAGTGTTCAAGCTCAATGTCAAAGCTTTGGTTTTGCTTGAGTCTAAATTAAGTCCACAAGTCTGTGTTGCCAACTTGTCAAAGTCATTCCTCCTCTGATCTGATCGATGACTAGCCTTAATCGAAAGTTCTCTCTCATTATCGGGAGGGGTAATTAACTATAGGGGCTTGCGCCTATAGGAAACCAGAACTCAGATCATAAAGTCCTCACAAAATGAGGGCGAAATCTCTGGGTAGTGTCTTATCTACAAAACCCATCTGCCTTCCAAAATTTACCTCGGAACTATTCAATTAAAACTCCCTCGCTGAATAAAAAGAACAGCGAGCGGAGGCCGGGGCCGAATTTTCGGAGCCCACAGCTAGCCTTTCGGGTGATGCTCCCTTCGGCTGCCTTTTGGCCTTCTTCCTCCCCTTTGCTGATTCATTGGGCGGCTGTTTGGGTTGTTTGGGCTGTTTGGCTCCCTCTCCTCTCCTATATATTGTGGCTGATTTGTGACAATTGGAAGCTATTTTTGGTGAGTGAAAACTACTTAAACATGAGGGTTTCTCCTTGGAAAGCTTACGAGCTATTTCCACTTCTCTTTTCCTCTCTTTGATTTCATATGGGCTTCTTACCTTCTTCTTATTTCCACAAGTTTCCACCCCACTTGTATCTTTGTTCACAAGCTCTTGAAAGTGTGGTTGGCTGGTTTGGTAGCATTTGCCGGAGGAGTCTTGTGGTGGACGTTGACCCAAAGTTGTTGTGGTGGACCTTTGGTTTGCATGTCTTTAAGCACTTATTATCTTACCTACTATTTCGATGCATGTGAGGTGACCACTAGCTGGTTGTTATGATGGTAGTTTGTTTTATTTTTATTTTAGTTTCATTTTTTGTCTATCTTTCATTTGTTTGGAGGTTTGTTTGGTGTTGGCTTTATAAATTTTGAATCGAGAAAAGTTCTACTAGCCATTATGCTCTCCGTTGTGGTTTTTTTTTTTTCCTACCTAGTTGTCTGCATCAAGTTTTGTATCAGAGCCAAGGTTAACATATCCTAGGTTGGTGTGTGAGTTTTTTTTTTCTTGAAACAAAATGGCTAATCAAAACAACCAAGTGGATTGGCAACAAATGATGCAACAATTGGCTGATTTATAACATCAAATAAACAATATGGCTAACACCCTTGCAAATTTGAATGTCAACAATGTTAATGTTCAAAACTCTAAAAGTGAAGAAGAAATCTATAGGAATCAAAATAGACTTCATAGGAATTGGGATCATGGGATAAAAATTGACTTTCATAACTTCGAAGGTAAGCTATAACCCGATCAATTCATTGAATGGATAGAAAAATTGGACCAATTTTCAAATGGAAGGATATCCCTGATAATAGGAAAGTTAAGTTTGCTAGCTTAAAACTCACAGGTCACGCCTTAACTTGGTGGAAAAATCTTCAAAATAATAGGCTAAGACGAGGGAAGGATAAAATTCAAACCTGGGATAGGATGAAAGAAAAAATGAGGGAAAAATTTTTGTCTTCTGATCACTCACGAACTTTATTCTAAGAATTTAATAATCTTCGTAAAGGATACCAAGCAGTTGAGGAATACACTGAAACCTTTTATAAACTTCAATCACGAAATGATCTAAATGAATCTGAAGAATGAACTATCACTAGATACATTAATGGGTTGAAATGGGCAACTCAAGATCAATTAAGCCTACATCATGTAATCAAACTCGACGAATCTTATCGAATGACCTTAAAAATTGAAAAGCAACAACAAAGAAGTAATAACAAGGCACCTAAACCATTTAAGCGACGACAAACTGGTGGGATAAAAATCCAATCTTCACAACCTTCTGCTAGAAGATCTAATGTGTGAACAAAAACATTTGAAACACAAACTTTATATAAAGGGATTGATGGACCCAAGCTGACTGAACTATCCAAGCTTATTGGACCATGTTACAAATGCGGGTTATACGAACATCTTTCAGCTGCTTGTAAGAAAACAACCCTCCTAGGACTAATTACATTGATAATGATGAGGAATTAGAAGAAGATGAAGAAGAAAATGAAACTGAACAAGAAAATGAGACTGAGTTAGAAAGGCTTGACGTAGAAGGCGACCAAGATGACCAATTCTTAGTAATCCAACAAGTCCTAACTACTAAAATTGAAAATGGAGATAAATGGATTATGAGGAACATCTTTCGAACCACTTGCACTTTTGAAGGAAAACTCTGCACTTTAATGATTGATAGTGGTAGTTCTGGTAATTTTGTCTCACAACTGATGGTAAACAAGCTTAAACAAAAATCAAAACCACTTGCTAAACCTTACAAAATCTTTTGGTTCAAAGGAGGTGAAGTTCCTATCACAAAGCAATGCACTGTTAACCTATCAATTTGAAGCTGTTATAAAGATCAGGTTGTTTGTGATATCATGCCTTTTGAAGTTTGTCATATCTTATTGGGTCGTCCCTGACAATTTAATCATAAAACAATTCATAATGAGGAAAAGAACACATACACTCTAACTCAAAATAATAAGGAATTCAATCTGTACCCTCAAAAGTACATTTCTGACCCACATGCCAAGATACCAAAACAACAAAAGCAAGCATTCCTGAATTACTCAACATGAATGAGTTGAAAAAATCTAAGATAACATATCTAGTGTTAGGAAAAGAGTCCGATCCAACCTCTCAAATTCCCAAAGAAATACGATCATTAATTGATGAATTTTTGGCATAACCCCTGAAGAACTACCAAAGGCTTTGCCCCCAATGAGAGATATTCAACATCACATTGACTTAATCCATGGAGCAACATTACCCAATCTTCCTCATTATCGAATTAGTCTTGCTGAACATGAGGAACTATATAAGCAAGTGACTGAACTTTTTGATAAGGATTAATCAAAGAAAGCCTGAGTCTATATTCTGTGTCTGCTTTACTTACACCTAAAAAAGATGGAACCTGAAGGATGTGTGTGGATAGCTGTGCCATAAATAAAATAACCATCAAATATAGGTTTTCAATACCTAGGCTCGATGATATGTTGGATATGCTTAGTGAAGCAAAAATCTTTTCTAAAATTGATTTGAAAAGTGGGTATTATCAAATTAGGATTAAACCTAGTGATGAGTGAAAAACTATGTTCAAAGCCAAGGAAGAATTGTATGAATTGCTAGTCATGCCTATTGGGTTATCTAATGCTCCTAGTACGTTTATGAGAACGATGAATCATGTTTTAAGACCTTTCATAGGAAAATTTGTGGTTTTGTATTTTGACGATATTCTGATTTACAACACTCATTCTTCTGAGCATCTTAATCATGTTAAACAAATCTTGCAAACTTTAAGAGAACAAAAATTGTACATCAATATGAAGAAATGTTCTTTCTAACTCCAAGTTTGACCTTTTTAGGATATCTTTTGTCTGCTGAATGAATTAAAGTTGACCCTGTTAAGATTGAAGCGATCCAAAAATGGTCGACCCTAAAGAATATCAGCAAGGTGAGAGGATTTCACGGTCTAGCATCTTTCTATCGTAGATTCATAAAAAATTTCAGCACTTTAATTGTAAATATCACTGACTGTCTTAAAAATAGGATTTTTAAATGGACCCCTGAAGCTGAACAAACCTTTCAAATAATCAAAGCAAAAATGAGTCAAGCTCCCATTCTTAGTTTACCAGATTTTGATAAAATATTTGAAGTTGACTGTGATGCCTCACATATTGGTATAGGAGCTGTGCTTAGCTAGGAAGATAAACCCATTACATATTTTAGTGAAATATTGAAAGTGTTGATAAAATGATATGATTAAATGAAATTATTTTATGATATGAAATGAAAAAGGAATAATGCATATTGTTCCAATTGCTTTAAGTTACTGCAATTTAGAAGCATATTTTACTCACTGAGTTGTAGTTTGCTTTTAGTTGCTCTAACATTTTCATATATAATTTATTATAATCAAAATGAATAAAAGATGTAAAAATATGTACCGTAGACGTGGCGCACCGGAAGAAAAGTATTTTGATGATTTTTTATCAGTTTATTTTTTTAGTAGCTCATTTAGTGTATTGGAGATGGATTTAGCAAATGGAAATTTAATTCACCGACCAACTGTCTATTCTCGCCTCGTTAATTCAAGCCTCCGGTCTGGATCGTGACACAAGCATTATTATTAGCTTTATCCCAACAATTTGTGATTACTTTTATAAATCATCCTCCAATCAAATTCAACGTCACTTGTTAGAAAATAGAAGAATTTTATGTTATGCCATCTATTTCCAGTACAATAGTAAATACAAGTACCATACAATATACTCATGAAGGATGTAATGTAGAAATAAATGAACAAATTATTACCAATAGAAATGCAAGCTCCAGTAACAATGTTAACATATGCCTGTACAAGAGCCTGTCTATCAAATTCATCATTATCATTCGCATCATTTGTTAACATCGCAATCCCAATATTCACAATTGAGGGAACCAGGGAATCGATCCAACCTTTCGATGGGCAAATTCTGCACCAAATAAAACATAGCTGTATCAATATGTTCCTACAAATAAAGTTCACTACGGATGGCAAAGGTAAATTACCAACCTACTCCACATAATTAAACTACGAGCAATGATCCGAAGCATGATAAAGTCAGGCCTCAAATACTGCAACTCAAAATGAGTGGAAGGGATATGAAGTCTTGATGCAACAACTTCTGATTCTGTCTGAAATCAGAAATATTTTTCATCAAAATCAATAGAACTTGATGTTTTTCCAATTCCTTTTCTAGCTTTCAACAGAATCACTGGAGTAAGAAATCACCTTTAAAAATATAAGAGCTAGTGCTATTGTCGCTCCAGGTGCTGTTACATCAACATTGATGTGTGTCCCTTCTAACATCTAAATCAAGAAAAATATAAAATAAAAAAGGATAAGACGTTCAATTTTTAACAGTTCAAATGAAGCTGCAAGGTTCACCTCATTGCATTACCAAACAAATCTGGAAGAAAAGAAATAGAAAGGAAATTACAATGTAGGAAGGAAATGCAGATGAAGTTAAAAGTCGAAATAACCTGCCCAATGCTTCGGCTGTGATCATCTGATGATGGTCCTATGTGAAATGGCTTCTCCTGCAAAAAACAACAATGGAAAAGAAATAATAATTTTATATAGAAGTCTAACGAGTAAATATAATTTAACTAAAATATTGGACGATGTGATAATGCAAAAAAAAAAAAGGACAGGAATGAAGTTGCTTCAAGAAAATACATTGTTAACTCCTTTGCTGCCAGTATACTGGAAAAGCTGATCAATAGAAGCATCCATGAAATTAAATGCATCATTGCCTCTGCCTTAAAGTCAGAAAATATATATTTTTAATTAAATTGTACAAAAACATAGAGATTGCCATGTAGTAACAAATACTAGAGTTTCTCTGGTTTCATGATATCATAAACCTAGAGCAACAAGCCCCAAAGCAGATCCTGCTGCGACAGCATAACCTTCTCTTTCAAGCACATTATCACCGCCACTTCTGCGCCCTATTTCACCCTGCAAGGAAATCAACCAGAAATGATGTTGAACTAGCAATAAATCATTAGAAAGACAAATTCTAGAAAAAAATACAATGTAATGAACAGTTTAACAAACAGGTGGCTGATATCACAAAGAAGTCAACTTTTCTTTTACAAAATATATTATAAAATAGAAATAGAAGACTATACATCTAGAATATAAAAACAATACCGGTAATCCTTAGTTTGATCAAAAAATAAAAAAAATAAAAAGAAACAAGATTGGGTAGTGCTACAGGCCAATCAAAATGTTTGTCCAAATTTTGAAAGTGAGCAAAATAGATGCCTGCTATCTTTTAACACATTTGCACCCAAAAATAAAAGACAGATGCCCACATTGATAGGTATAATTACTACTGATTCTACAATAACTGATCACCCTTGATGTTTTCGCATCAAAGAAAATAAAATATGCCATCCGTAATTGAAAATTTGTAGACAATAATTCATGTTTGAAGAGAAAGACAAATGTTTATTTGGCATACTATATTTCAGTATTTTCAAAGAAATCATTAAGGCATTAAATCATTGATTACAAGTGTGGAAAAACTCTTCAACTATGATGCACCGACACTTCTCCTCAAAGAGGCGTGCAGTGTCCGACACCGTGTCCACCACAACACTCGTCTGACACTCCTCCGACACGTGTCGGACACGCCGAAAACATGTCCGATTAAAAAAATACTAAAAATAAATTGGACACACGTGTCCGACACGCGTATCTTAACCGACACCGTGTCCGACACGACACTCATCCGACACGTGTCGGACACGCCGAAAACGTGTCCGATTAAAAAAATATTAAAAATAAATTGAACACACGTCCGACACGCGTATCTTAAATATTTTATAATTTTTTTAAATTAAAATTTCTTCTATTTGGCGAGATTTAAACTAAATTTCTTATTTCATATCCACAACATCAAATCAACGTCTGCATTTAATACCCATTTATCGAATATTCTCATTTTCATTTCTCTTTGACAGTGAAGGTATTTTCATCTCCTCTCTTTTTGCACAATTACAAATCTTTCTCTTGTTGAACCAGAGTTAAAAGTAGTGATATTCAATGATGATGATATTGAAGGCCAAAAACAAACCTCTAAAGCTAATCATAGTAGTTGAAGCTTGAATGCTTGATGTTGCAGTAAGTGATTATTTGCTTATATTTTTGTGGTTGTACTAGATATTTTGTATTAAATATTTTATATTATAAGCTAGACAAGTTATCATGTCATTCATTTATTATTGTTTGTCATTTTTAATATGATATTACATTAATATATATACATTATATAAAAGAATGTATTGCCAGGTGTCCGCGTCGTACCCGTGTCCTATATTTGCAAAAAAAAGCCGTGTCCGTGTCGTGTCGTGTCCGTGTAGCCGTGTCCGTGCATCATAGCTCTTCAAGTAATATATGTAGAAGTTCATTTCATAAACAATATGAGGACCTAAAATGTAAGTAGCCAAAGCTTGCAGAACCAAGATTCAAACATTGAACAAGTTTGACGGCACTAATAATCATTTAATACCTATTTCACTAAAAGCATCCCCACAATCATATTGGGGCATGAATATGTTAAATATTTTGAAGTTGAAGTTTGAGAACCTGCAGAATCAAATAATTAATCCGTTTAAGATACCTTTTACTTAGATAAGTAGTAATCAGTGAGCTTCTAATATATGACTGCAGGAAGATATAATCTTTTCCTCTAAAATTAAACTACCATGTACCGTCAATCAAGATGTTCCCAATCCCGTACCAGTTTTCAACATAATTTTAACAACTACAGATAACAGTTCACTAACAGAGGATGAGAAAAATGTATGATCTAGTCTTATAAAATAAAACATCAACGAAAGCCTAACTAAGGCCATAATAAAAAAAGGAGATTACAGAAAGTAAATCAATTACCAACAAAATTTTTGTAGTTAATGGATGTGCTGACCCTTCGTATAGAAGTCCAATACCCATTAGTGCTGCAGACTGTGAAACAACAAAAAATATGCAAACCGATTCACGAAAGTTAATAAATCTGAGAAGTGACAACAGAAATTATGCATATAAAGAAACACTGGAACTTAAATCAACAAACTTGAAGTTTTTTATGTGTTAAATGGAAGGCAATATTTAGAAGAAGAAATGAACACTGAGCAGGATAAAAGAATCAAATGTTGAAGAAACTACTTATACCTCTTTAAAGAGCCCCAGTTAATTCCAAATATTTAGGTACCTTACCAGGTCATGTGTCCAGGATCTGTGCCTTAAGTAGATCTTGATTGGTTGGATCGGTGAGACTATCCCTATCTAAGAAACCAGTGAAGTACATGAATCTTGGATGGAGTGCATACTTCATGAGCTGGTAGCTAAGCATCAGAATTGTAGATTAATATGGAGTGTTGGTTGGGGCACTGACAACTTTACCTCCTAGCAGTAATTTAGAAAGGTTTGTCTTTCTTTGTTTAGCTCTGTGCTTATTTGTTATGCTCTTTACTTATTTAACCTACAAATTCGATGCATGTGAGGAACCCGCTCTGACGGTTGTCTGAGGATAGCGTCTTTTTTAGTTTCTTTATTTCTCCTAACATCTTTTGTTGTGATTGTCAAGTTTTGGGTCGTTTAAGTTTATTTAACAAAGTTTGTTTTAAGTTCTACTCTTTTGTCAGTTTTCTTTCTTGTGTGTTTTTTTGTATTCAAGTGATATAGGCTCCCTATATCCCTTGTCTGCATCAGGTGATTTCACTTATCATTATGGTGATGTAAAGAACTTCCGTGTTGATGCTGATCATCTGATCAAGACATACTTTTAACGTCAACAATGGGATTAATTAGATATTTTTTGTTTTGTTGGTAAATTTATGTTCTAGGAAACATATGAATTTTCTTTTAAATTCATCTTTGGAGTTTGGACTTATCTATTTGGAGATAAATTTCAAGCTTCTTTTATAATCTCTTCAAAATTTACCTCAGGTCTTTTTCTCATATAAACACCCGATGGTTATGCTGAGATAATGAAGCATATTTCTTGATTTGTTGAAACTACCCCAATTCTTAGTAACCACCCCCTTTTTGTGTTTCTCTCTCATTTCCCTCTCACTCATCTGCCATTTCTTCCTCTTGGACTCACTCATTCTTACACTTTCTAATCCTTGCATATTCCTTAACGCTAATACCCTTTCACAGCAGACTCAGCAACTTCAACATCAATCCATATGAGAAACTTATACTGGCACAGTTTTGAGGTTCAAGGGCTTCATCCATAGATAATATTTGGCAATGGAGCTTGATTTGATGTTTTCATAGGTATAAATATTCAATTATTAATTAGACTAAATTACTAGTTCTCCATCAATTATCCTTGCCTAGGAAAGCTCTACCAAAAGAGAGCCCTACCTACTACCTAAACAATATAAAGTAGTAGAATTCTACCCAATAATAATAATCAAGTGCATACAAAAAAGGCTCATTATTATACATACTTAAAATCCATTGAAAACTACAGATTAAAACATTATTACATATCTAATTCTACTTTTATATTTTGCTTACTAGTATAATAATCCTGACAAATTTACTTTCACCACATATTGGATGATTTTACAAATAAATTTGTAGCCATATCACAAAACCTCTCAAGCAAAGTTATTGTATCAGGAAACAATCACATTCACATATACATTTAGAATTATCTTGTCTAATTGTATTCATCAAATATTTCCATGTTATGTTCATCGTATATTGTACATTCAATTTCATTTAGCAATGACACTTCCAGCACATAAAAAGGTGAATTTAGAAGTTTATTACAAACTATTGAGCAATTGAGCCAACATGTAGAAAATTTAGATCATAAAATGACATTTTATAGAAGTAATTGTTCTTTAAAAGAATTTGACTCTTGAAAAGAAAGTCAATCTAATTATGGGTCAATTAGTGTCTAACAATATTTAAGCATTGCAAACCCAAATGGAATTCAAAATGAACTTAGTATAGGCACCTCCAAATTTATCCTTCAAACCATCTTGCCACTATAAAAATCCTAAACAAGAAATGTCACCTATGGGACACAACCTACAAGTGGACAAGATTAGAAGGCATTAAAAGGCCAATTATTATTATTCGCTCAGGAAAAATATTGGCACTAACCTTACTCTCGTAAGCTTAAGGTTCTAATTTTCCCCGAGGTGAATTTGATTTAACATTTAATCAGATTTCCCCTGAGAGTAGTAACAGGGTTTATTTAGATATGGATTCTACTTCCTATGAGCGTAAGTCTTCATAGTTAACTACCCCTCTAGTACTTGTTTTGCTCTATTTAGGTGTAGCTTTACATTGCTAGTTATATTTGATATTAATGTTATATTTGTTTTCTTGCAGGTAGATTGTACTTACAATAGCTCAAACTGTTCACAGGTAGCTATAGGGGCTACTAAGAGCTATTTGTTTGATGGAGAGTTTTATTGTTTGTGAGAATTGCTTAAAGTTTGAGTTGTTTCACCAATATTTGAGAGCTGTCAATTGTTTGGAGAGCTTTGTTTTGAGAGCTATTACTTGGAGGCGAGCCGTTGCTTTGGGAGATATTTTTACTTGTTGGAGAGCCATTGTTAATTTGTACTTAGGATGAATTATTGAAAATAATATATTTCTGCATTTTCTTCTATTTTATGTGCATAAATTAATTAGATTAATTAATTAAATTTTAATTAAAGTAAATTTTTAAATTGCTCAGCACTCTAATTAAAAAAAAGTATTTTAAATTGTTTAATTAATCTTGATTAAATTTATTAATTGGATTTAAATTTAAATTGCTTAATTAATTTTAATTAAAGTTTGATTGTTTAATTTGTTAATTTAGATTTTTAGATGAATTTTAAAATTACTTATGTTTAATTCAATTTGCTCATTAATCTGATTAATTAACATATAGTTAGTTAATTTAATGATCTAATAAATTTACTAAATTAATTGTATCTCTGATTTTTAGTCAATTTAGATTAATTACCTAATTCGCTAAACTAACTAATTAGTTGTTTAATTCATCAATTTAATATTTTATTGATTAATTAGTTAAGGATCTTTTACATTATTTAAACACAATTAATTAATTTAATCAAAGGTTTTAATATCAATGGAGTTATCAATTGATCAAAAAGGATTTTAATCAATTTAATCATCATACTTTTATTAAGTTCCATGTTTAAGCAGTTAATTAAACAGCTCAAACTTTGAATTTCTGATTAAATTGAACTTCAAATTTATAATTCTGAAATTAATTGAGAGTTTTGAATTTTAATTTTGTTTTAGTTAACTGGTTATCAAATGACTGCTTAATTAATTGTTGTTGTTATAATTTTAAATTAATTAGTTAATTACTTAGGTTATCATTTCAATTAAAATTTAATTAATTTATGTTTATCGAGTCGTAGTTAAGATTAGTTGATTAGTGAGTTATTTAATTTAGTTAATTAGTTTTAAATTGGTTAGCATAATTAGTCAATTAATTATAAATTTTAATTTCATTTCAAATTAATTTTATATTCATTAATTAGTGAATTTTAAGTTTAATTGAATTTTAATGCAAAGCTCCCAAATTTGCAAGATAGATATTTTTCTGGTGAATTTTCGGGAACCTCCTGGCATCCCCTCCCCGCGAGAAAAGGTTAGGGGAGGTTACTCACCCTTTTAGTCCGCCTAGGCGAAAATATAATCAATGGCCAAGGACTTCGGGATGTTGTTTGGTCCCGGTATTATCTTCAAGTCTCCAATTGATAATTGCTAATTGCGACATCTCCTGCTTTCCTTTTTCTATGATAATATATACATACGTACAAATTATAATTATAATTATTATTATAATAATTATATGCATAATCCCTCTCACATCTCTCCCTCACTCAATGTTTACACAAACATAGGTGGATCAAGTATGGCCTTCACGTGGGAAGTTGGACGCACAGAGGAAGTCAGAAGCCAAAGAGACTTTGAATCGTGCATATCTCATTGTGTGGAAGGGCACAGACTGGGTACTTGGGAGGCGGGCTGAAGGCTTTGGAGCTGGAGGCTTCGCGTGGGCTGAAGGGACACAAGACAGGAGCAGAAAGGCTGGTTTTGGCTTCGGCGTACTTGTACGATTTGTAGTTGGGGTTCAATTGCAAGTAGCAGGCATGGTCGGCAGTAGGGGTTGCTCGTGTGGGAAGACTTGGGGTTCCGAGTAGAAGGAGGCCGGTGGGAGTCAGACGAGACTGACGTAGGCATTAGCGGGAGTCTGGTCAGAGAAGAGAGCAAGGCAGATGTTCGTTGTGAGGAGGTTGAGAAAGAGAGTCAAGGGATTCGATTGCAAAGTCTGTGTAAGTTCGATTTTCTATTTTGTTTCACTTTTTTACGTGATTGACGCGACAGTTATCTCAACGTCGTGTGATCTTGGAAACTGACATGGGTAGTGGGCCGATGGTTGTAGGTTCATAAGTCAACAAATATCCTACATTAAAGCTTAAAAAGTGCATCACCTTCATAAAATCTTAAGTATTTGAGTTTATCAGTGTCGTCACCTTTATAGAAATCCATCTAATCACCCTAGAGATATTGATCAAAGAGGTGCCACAGGCGAGACACAATCTACAAATAACAGATTGTAAGGCATTATAATTGCTAGTTACTATCCCACAATAGGGTTGATGAGCACATTCTCGATCACAAAATATGTTTAGAGATGACTCAAGAATCAATACCAACACCTTTTATGGAAACTTAGGATAATGATAAATCATCTCTATAATAGGGATCATTATGAAAAGGATTATCTTGAAGAACAGTGAGTATATTATAACACTCTTTATGAAGAGAAATTAGATGAGTTCATTCATGCTCATTGCCCATCAAAACATAATCATAATAAAAATAATTTGAATAACCTTATACAAGGTAAAGCTAATAAATTTTTTGAACTATCTAAAAGGTTAAGGTGGAAGCTTTAATTTTATATAGAA